TATATATATATATATATATATATATATATATATATATATACATATATATATATAATATATATATAAACATGTATATGCATGTATACACATTAGTGTACATGTGTGTTTATATACATATACTTGATACCTACTTGAACGGCCCGTCTTCGCCAGTTGTGCGGGCCCCAGCATAATGACCATTTTTCGAAGATTTGCAGATTAAGCCATTGTGGTTCAATGGAATCCCGAAGGCAACCTGGCCAAACTTTGCCCCAGGTCTTCACCACGGCAGGCAGTCGCAGCCCTTGTGGATCACACGGAGATTTGCCAACATGTGCCTTTGATACTAGGGCGGTGGTGGATCCTGCCATTGGTTTACTCTTAGCTAGGCTTCCTAATGGAAATGCCGGACTCCTTCACAGCTTGGGAGGCCATGCTGGAGGGACGAATTCCCGCTGTACATCGCAATCAGACACATAGGAACACCTTCCAGCCATGATGAGGTGGCAAACCGTTGGGAGGATATACACATACATATATATATATATATGTAGATATATATACATGCATATATGTACATACATAAACAACGCCAGTGTGGGTGGGGGGATAGTGCAGTGCTTAGTGATACATCACGAAGCAAGATTTTGGTTTTACGCTCTCCCGAACGCTCTTCGCCGACACATGTGGGGATGCCTTAGTCAGCTTATTTCCAGGATTGCAAGCAAAATGCGAGGAAAACGGATCGAATGCAGAAGAAGTACTAGAGAAGTACAAGAAGTACTGGAATCCGCGCAATAAGCGCAATAACGGGTCATGCAAAAATCATAATAACAATAAGTAACCAGCAATCACCACTTCCTGTAAAAATGGGTAAGCAATGCTAAACTCCACGTGTTCCTTTGACACACAAATGCTGCTTACCCTTTCCTTTTCAAAGAACCCCTCAATGTTCTTGGTAAGAAGGTAGATTGGCTCTACCTTATGATTAGTATTGGATAATCAGACATTGGGGTGGGAACATGGAATAACTCCTCAACTTGTGGACCATACAAAGAGGATGAGGAATGTACATGATCATCCGACACTCAGTAATACATCTTACGTCGAAGCATAAGAACAATAAAAAAACATGTGATTCATATGGTTCACATTTCAAACAATCCGTATTATTTTCAATTCTATTCTATATTTTAGTTATTTGATAACTAACATCCATCACGGCATCGCTCACTGAATGTGATGTAGAAGTCCTCAGGTTTTCAGAGCATTTGAGGAAAATTGATTGTAGCAGATGTAACTCATGGATGCTATTCAAAGATGTGGACAGCTTTTTGCTTAAGAAACCGTCATTGTGTTCCCATGTCAAAGGAAACTGTCTCGTTGAGGTAGTGGAATACAGAGGAGAGACCATCTTGTTGAAGTAGCCGAACACGGAGTAGAAATGGCCATGGAGAGGTAGGCGAATGAAAACCACAAAGGCTGTCTTTTCAATGAGGTAATGGAACAATGAGAAATCCAGATGGTAGAACACTGAAGAGAACTCACCTCGATGAAGTAGTCGAATGTGGGAGAGTAATCGCCTTCTCGATGTAGCGGAACTCAGAGAAGTTTTCTCGTTGACGCAACCGAGTCCGGACAAATAATCGTCTCCTCAGTTTATTCGAATACAAGAATCGTTAAGCATTTGCGTTGTTACCGATCTATCACGAGAATTCTCGAAGTATTGTTGTTTAGTAAAATGTATTTATACGAGTAACTCTGCTAATCTAACATTCTCTCGCTAATGTCATACGGTATCGCTCCGATATTGTAGATGACTCGCGTTATTCTAGTAGCTCATTTTTCAAATGTCTATGTGTAAATAAAGTCTGTAAGAACAAAATCTCAACAGAAATCATCAAATTATCCTGTCAATCGTATTCTCTGACGATGAGAAAATGAGTTGGAACTGTGACGAATCGGGTATTCACGATGCCCGAATGACTAGTCATAGCCACACTCATTTGTCACCGATATGGGTCAGTGAGGTTGTAGATGGACTAAAACTGCGTAGATCCATGAACAAGCCTTTGATTCCTGGACGACGTCACTTATCCGTCAACGAGATTATACCGCCAGCGCCACATTATCGATCGATTGTGCTGCTGCGTATACGCTGTTTTTATTCTATTTACCCCCGTTTCCGCGAGAGACGTGGTCAGGCCCGTTGGCCGGCGTCTCTTCTGCTCGACTTCTTTTTTCTCTTCTTCCTCTTCTTTCCTTTTCGGAACATCGGTTTTCGCCAACTATTGAAACCAGGCTGTTTATACAGTTTGGTTGACAGTCTTAAGAATTCAGATTCGTCTGCTATCCTCACCCGAATCCAGGGTACCATAATACCCCGGATATCCCTGCTACTGGCCGTCACGTTGTTGTTCTCGTTGATTGCTGCTGTTGGCCGGCCATTCACCCGACGACAGAGAACATTCGGACCGACCTCTATGTGCACCCACACGTCTCCCGAGATGTTTGTGGATCGCCGCCTGCGATGTCGCACGCGTCGGCTTGCGCTCTTCGCTGAGTATTAGACGCGTCCAGTTCGCCTTCATAACACCAATGCCCAGAATTTCACTGCGTAGTCCCGCCCATTCGTCGGTGGCGACGTCGCGCGCGATGCCGCACACGACATCGCAACCTAAATGTAAATTCACTTATTTACTGCAGAATTCTCGATTTTCGTCAAGTGTTGTTCGTCCGTTGACTCCCGTATATCGTTCGACTCGTCGTGCTGTGCTCGTGCTCCTCCCGGAGTCAGTTCCAGAATTTCATGGATTGTTACCTTATAACGGCACAATGATGTCGTTCTATCCTTAATTACGTTATTGATTTTTCATTCGTCATCATCGTTTTTTCGCCCGCCACAACCATAGGGCACTTTGGACTACTTATTGTTTGCTAACTGATTGTCGAGTCAATTACTTGTTAGTATAAGGCTTTTTCCTCAACCTTCAACTCCTATACTGATAAGTTTTTAGTTGACGACGGCCTTCGTAGGTAAGTGGTGTGAATCCTGGGAGTGCAGTGCTGCAGTTCGTCAATGGTGACCACTATGGACGAGACGGTCTCTACAGCACCGACACCCGATGAATCCGCTACACGAGAAGATCGAATACAGGTTCGAATTGATTCATCCGGAACGGATCCATTATTAGATAGGAAAGAATCACGTTTTGGTAGTTTAAGGTTTGACGTTTTAGAAATTGAAAGCTGAGAATCGTTTGGTCGTTGATGATGTTGAGAAGACAGAAATCGAAGCTGATGACAAGGAAAATGGCGATATGGTTCCATCTCCGACAAATGCGCTTACGACTTCTGATGACACAAGTGCTGGTGAGGATCTGACCAGTTGATTAACATATTATTGGTTTTATGTAAAGAGATTACCGCTATTTCGAGATTCTGGCAAACATAGCTGTTGAACAATGCTGTGAATCCACGGTCACTGGGAGGGCATAGCTGGATTAAGATAGTGTCTTATAGGTATATAAGTACAGAGTTTCAGCTGCAAGGTTTTCTCAAAAATTGGGAGATTCATTTATGACCATATACGTCGGGAGTTTTGAATCGTGGAGTACCATATTTTCCTGGACTTGAGCGAAGGTTGTGTTTGATGTTGACTAGGGTAATAGAACGGGCTGTAAGATCGCTTGCACTGTTAGTATGGTAATTCGTCTTATATCGATAAGAATCTCTGAGCTAGCCTTAAGGTTCGCTTTGGATTCTGTTTTGGGCAATTGTTTTTCGGGTTTATGGAATTTTTATGTGACACTTCGTGGTGTTTCATTTTAACTGCAATGGGTAACCTCTGGAAAGGGTAATAGCGAGTTCGATCCCCACAGCAGACACCTGATTTTCCGGAGTTTTTGAATATCTCAGCATCGTTGTAGGCGTATATTTCATGTCATACCGTGACATGAAAAAAGAATGGGCAGTAAATAGAAAAGTGATTACATTGTCTTTTATTTTAGGTCATTACTTTCTTAAATTTGTTTTTGTGCAGTTTACACTGTTGAGTTTTCGGGTTATATTGCTATATTTGATTTATGCTGATGTATGTTTGAGCTGGGTAAAGATCAATGATCATTTTTCTCACTGGGTTTGTCCACTAGATGTGAAGAAATGCAAAGTTTGTAAGGGGCTAGGAAAATGAGTCTAGTAATCATGAACATTCTTTAGCAAAGAAGTAGCACATGAAGGGTAGTAAATGGGATAATTTTAAGAGGTACTTCAGGGTACAGTAAAGTAAGGTACTAGCATTGTTGCTTTCTTAATATTTATATAAGTAACGCAAGACACTGATTTCTAACCTGTCCATGTACTTTGCTTATAGGAAAAGTCAACTAATGAGAAGAAAAGAGATGATACTGTTTACAGAACCCAAAGAAACTTTTGTAGTGTCTTAGTTGCCGCTTGATTGCTTAGGTGCAGCTTTGGTTTTGTTATGTTTTACTGCTTTCAAGGAACAAATAGTGGGTCGTCATCGAGTGATGTTGAGTGTATTGAGCTAGATGATGATACGAGTGAACCGCCGCCGCCGAAGAAAATGAGAGACGGTGACTCTAACGACTCTGAGATCGCTATCATAACCGTAAGTGCTCTTCTTAGAACTTTATGGCCGATTCTCTGTTCATTTATAAGTGATCTGCAGGGAAGAGAAAAGGAGAAGCCGTCATTGATCGGAGAAAAACCTAAGGAAAAGGAACCAGAACTCACTAGTCCTGGAGCGTTGTTGAATAAACTTGAGGAATACGTCGCCGATGTAAGGTTTTCATATTCACTTCTAGTACTATTTCGCGTAATTCCCGTCTTAGAATTACTACTCGGCATACTAGCGTGTTTTTAGGCTATTAATAACAAGAGGAATATTGATAGGAAGGTTCTTGATGCACTTTTGGGTGGCATAAATGTTCAAGTACAAAAAGAGCCATTGAGTGTGCGCAAATTGATTCTTGACAAGCAACTCGTACTGCCTAATACTATATCATTCCCTCCAAGTTTGGTAAGTCTTCCATGTTTGTCATATTCTTTCTGCCGTTCCATTAGATCCCTTCTTGCCATGATCTTCAAGTTATGCATGTCCTGGTCTAATTCCTCATCTGTTCTTTTCCATTCAGACAGTAGATATGCTTATTGAACACGATCCAGACCACCCGCTTTCAAAGGTGATTACAAGGATGTTTGGCGAAGAACGGCCAAAGTTGAATGAAGCGGAGAAGAAAGAACGCCAAAGTTTAAAGGTGGGCTTTGGCAGGGTCTGCAGCTTTTGTGGTTTTATCACTGATTGGTATTATATGGTTACTGTTGAAAACTTTTAATAGTGTGATTGGTTTTCAGCTCCATAATAATGTTCCACATATGACGAAGTTACTTCTGGACATTGGTCAGGACTTAGTTCAGGAATCGACATATTGTGATATAGTGCATGCCCGGAATCTTCCAGAGACTCCGAAAAACATTGAAACGTATAAACAGGTATGTTACCTGGATTCAAAGGAATGGATCCGTTCCGTTTGGAAGTTCATCTTGCTTTGGTTTATTTTGCTTGAAAAGGTCTCGCTAAGGTTTTAGTTTTTGTTACGGAATTCTGACTTAGATCGCCACATTGTTACTGGTGTTTGACACATAAATTGACCATACTATGTGAGGAAATTTGGCTTCTTTTCTACCATAATGGTGAAGAATGGGCAAATGCCCGTTTTCTAAATTTTAATGTGCGGTCATGTATAATGTGCACTGCATACTTTTTAAATTCCTACAATAGAACCCTTTTTCATATTGTATATTTGTACTAATTTTATGTAAGAAAGACTGCTTTGAGAAATATCAGCATTTCTGGCTGTGTTATTGCGATGCAATATTCTTACACTAATTAGTTGTCATAAACAGCAACGGGTATTTCCAGAAGGCGAATAGAGGTTTAAAGAGACGAAGGTGTTATGGTAGACCTGTTGTCCATATTATGATGGTTTTATTTCTATTTTCCATATACAAGTAGTAACGTCCCTTATGTATATGTATTCCGTGGCCGGTCGCCTGACTGATCACAGAAATCGCTACCATAATGGAAGAGTCTCGGTTCCAAGACAGCAAACTGTACGATCCAAGCTTGCTGACGATTACCTGTGGTGATGACTTGAGAACGCTTAAGGAGCATTAGACGTTTTACTGAAGAAGAGAGAACGACATGCCATCAATTTATGAACTATACCAGTGCTTTAATCCGATCACCTCCATCACCTCCATTGGTTGCGGTTGTAGCAAAGGATATGCACAGAAGAAATGCTGGGTCCCTTACGTCGTGCAGTGAAGGGTATTCTGAGTGTTTTGGTATCCTTTTTATGACGGGGTAAGAGCTCAGTTTGCACTAGAAGTAAGCACTGTATACAGAGTTAATGCGATTGAAAATTCGGCTCATGGTAATTCAGATATTCTCGTGGAGGAAATTTTTACAAGTGTCCGTCTCGACAACCTGTCATGCATCGCAAACCTGGTCCTTGGATGCTACATGGGTTGTCGGAGGGAGAAAAAATTTTGGTCGACTAGGTTTTTGCCTACGGTTGTCTTCTCAAGAACCAAAAAAATCGATCTATTTTCGAAGCGGATATTCTCGGACGCGAGAAAGAACAGTTTCTGAACTACTGTTATTTATTACATACTACCAGAAAATCAACTTCCGGACAAATAATGATGACAATCGAACAAATTGAAGTGAGGAATCTTTCTTAAGTGACCGGATGAATGAGAACTTTGACAAATGCCTGAACATGGCTGGTGTTCTCATTACGCACATTTGGCTGCTTTTAGATCAGCGATAACTATCCCATTGACTAATTTCTTCAGCGATGATAGCGTTTTGAAACACTGGTTGACTCTTAGATGGGCTTCCAGATGGAAATCGCTAGGCCGTTTAGGGTGGATTATATTCGAATGCTTGGCTCATCTTCAAAGCATATATTGACGCCGAACACTGTCTGTTCTCCCAAATCCGACTTTCTATTAACCTCGGCATTGATTCAATATATCTTTCTACTTCTGTTCAGCAAACACGAGGTGCTATTTCATTCCTTTATTTACGCACAAGCTGACGTTTCGGCGGATTTCGCCTTCATCAGAGCCTGGACGGGTCAACTTGACAGCAATCCATTCGGCCAAACACCTCCATAACAAAACAGAGAAAACGCTAAACCAAGATTTCAATCACATTTAGCATAGCTCTGCACACTCATCGCTTTCTATAAGTCTTCCACTGAGTACGTCGCGTGAAGACCGACCGCACCAAATTCACATGGAAGCGTAATGTGCTCCTCCCATCAGAATAACAGGTTTATATACTGTCCAATATCGCGCGTGATAACGAGGCATTCCTCCCTGCGGTTCATTTTCGGATTCTTGGAATTAATCGAGAATACCTCTAGAGTTTTGCGCGCTTGTGCTCTCGATTCTTGCGCGAGGACCGTAACCCTTACTTCAAAATCTTCTCCATTATGTCTCTGCGTCCTATGTGTGCCTAGTGGAGTATGTGGCTTACGTTTGCCGACTAGGTGTTCTTTTATACGTATGCAGAGTGGTCTAACCGTTTCGCCAACGTGTTCGTCCCCGCACGCTTTACAAGAGATCAGATAGACTGTACCCGAACTTATGCAGTCACCGTCTCTACCATAGGGACAAATTATGCAATTTTGCGTTGCACATAGACCGTCGTATAGGCGGCTACGAACTAGCTGGCGCCTTAGATTACTCGGTGGTATTTCGATTATCGTTACCGAATTCTCTAGACTGGCCCTTCTTAAACAGCGTTTTATAGCTGCACTTACTTCATTTGAAATGAAGGGCAGTATAAACAGGACCTTGTTGTCGCAAGAGTTATCGTTGGGGTAGCTGTGGTTTTCTCTACACCTATCTCGAGCCACGGTTTCGTAGCCATTAAAAATGGCCGCGCCAAGTTCCGCGACTTCTCACTCTGTTGTGTTCCTGTGCACACGCTGGTAGCTGTTCGATACATGTTTCTCACAAGCGCCCTTTTCGTGTGAGAGGGATAAGAGGAGAGGTAATGAACTAGGGTGTTTTTACTACTTGGCTTTTTTTTTACTGCCTGCTCTATTTTTTTCTATTGTTTCTTTCTTGTTTTACTATTATATGCTTAGCAGTATCTAAGCATGGACCATTTTAAACGGACTGTGAAGTCACTGTAGTGATCTAAATACTTCCTACCGCTTTCTAAAAAGGGTATTTTTTTTACCAATGCAAGATTCTACTGATTTACTGGCATTTATGAGTTTTCATAGGTTGCTGCTCAGCTAAAGCCAGTGTGGGAAGCGCTCCGAAAAAGAAATGAGCCTTACAAGCTGAAGTTGTTGACATGTCAAGTCAGTACCTCTTTCATTCTGTTTTTGTGTACAGCTCAATGTGTCAATAAACGTTTCCGTTATTTTACAGGTTTGTGGGTTTAAGACTGAGTCACGGATGATATTACAAGCTCATCGCTCCACTGTGCATTATAAAAATGGGAAATACCAGTGTGCTATGTGTCCAGAATTTGACTCTAACGAGAAACGGTTGATTAACCACTACCTGTGCGTCTTTTATTAGGATCACTCATCAGTTTCGAATACTTTTGCACTCTGTATTTTAACTGGATAGTAGTTGAGTGTAAAATATTTGGTGTTTAGTGCATCGCATTTCGTGGTAGCAACTAAAGATGAACCTCAAGCGAAGTATCCATGCCTTATCTGCGATGAAGATTTCCAGTATAAAGGTCTGAGGGACACCCATTTGCGTACGTGCAAAAAGGATTACAGTAGAGTTCGAAATATTATGGGACCGAAGGTTTGCAATAAACTTATTATTCACTGAATTTAATCAAGCATTATCGAATTACAGGGGTGTGATGATCAATTAATGATCAATCAATGGCTTTGGGAGCGACCACCCGTTGATCCTACGATTTTGCAACAACAGCAAGCTGCCCAACAACAGCAGGTATTCCTTCGTTGAAACAGTTATACGATGTGAGTTGGTTTTGGTCCTAAATAGGCGGGAATAACATCATCTTTAAGCTGTTGATAAGCATATCTAATCTCAGATTGATCCATGGTATGTAAGGCATGCGAATCTGCTGGTCTTTATAGGAGTTTTGTTATTCTACCGCTGTGAATTTTTGATTTTCTGTAACCCAAAGACTGTTGTTTACTTCTTTTTTTCATTCGGGGTTCGTATTTATAGCAGTCTAGCTATTCAGAAAATGATGTTCCATCCATTACAATACGCTAGGGCTCCCGAATGCTTCTCTATGAATGCTTACCACGATTACGGTAGTAATTCGGGATTTCTGGAAAAAATTGCATTAGTGTTTTTCCAATCTCTATTTTAAGAGAAGCGACACTGTTCTTAGAAACATCACATAGATCTCTAAATCGATTTTGCAAAATCTTATTAAAAGTATGTCAAATCCTTAAGCTGTGAAGTACTGTAGTTATCGCAAAGTTGTCGGTGGTTATGAAAAAAGTAGACATCGTTGCAAGTTCTTTTTTTTTTCGTCACAGTATTCTAAAGTGGAACATCGCACATAATCAGAACGAAACCTGTGATCAGTGGTTTTCATCTTTCTAGAAGCGAAACCAATTAGCTCAAGCTCAACAAGCTGTGGCTCAAGCGGCACTACGTCGTACAGCTGCGGTTCGAGACGCCCAGCAAAGTGCGCTTCAGCAGCAGCTACTTCAGCAGCAGCAACGCATGCGACAGGTGAATGTAGGAAACGATATTTCAGTTGAGAAATAATATTTTATTGTTTAAGGCTGCTGCAATGATGCAGCAACGGAACATGATCGGTCAAAATAGTAACAGCCTTATCGCAGGTACTTCACATTATGTCCTTTATTCATTGTTTAAAGAGATTCAAGAATAAATCAGAGTTTCCATTAGCTTTGTCCTTTAGATGTTCTGTACTATATATTCGTCTGGTATGACGTCACTACCTGTTATTGCTGTGCAGTGGTAAAGTAGTGGCGACCTTGAACATAAAGGAGATCCACTAGATTTCAATGTCTTCAGCTTGTTATTTATTTCTAGTCAAAAGCCACGCGTATAGTATGTTCTATCCACTTACTCTTTGGTCTTTGTGCATTTGCAGATATTACGACAAAGTTACAAATATTACGACAAAATTAAAGTTAATGATGCTTAATAGAAGTGGACATTTGAATACTCTCTGACGGTACTTCAACAGTGAACTGAGCCTTTGTTGCATTTATATTTTAATAGCGTGCTTCGTCTTCATCAGAACCATGTCATAGATGTAGACTCTATGCGTTTACACTTACTTCCTAAAAAAATTAGACCGAAGAACTGTTCTGGAGAACGAGTTGTTCACCAAAAAATTATCCATTGTGGGCTAAACATTGCGTTCATAACCTTCTGTTAGCTCATCAAGAAGAAAGGAGGAATTTTTCAAGCACCCTTTTAAAAGATTCGGACTTAATATTTAAGATCTAGCTCATGTCTTTCAGCTATGCAGCAGCACATTCAGCGAGCCAGTCAGCAACGTGTCTCGACATCAGCTGCGGCTACAGTTGGTTCCTTAGCTGCAGCCACTGCTCTTTATCAAAAAAACCTTGCAGCAAGCCGTAATGCATTACTAGCTAACACGTCTGCCCTTCGGAAAGGGTCCACGGTTAGTGTTGTCAACTTTAATCTATGAAGAATCTGACCAAGGTCCATGTAAACCTTTTCTGGTTTGTTTTCCGTTTGTCTTCTTTGATGAAAAACTGCTCTGTGAACAGTGTTTCTAAAATCATCCTGCTTATACCGTGTATTAGGGTACCATGCGGTTTTAAAGCAACGACATAAAACATGCAGAGTCTGGTTAGTGTCGATTGTAGAAGAGGTAAACGACAAATGACTAGAATAAGATGGAGAGTCTCGGCAAATAACGATAGTAAGAGTCAAGTTGAAGAGTCAATACTGTCCTTGTAAGTCTATAATCGGGTTAATTCGCGATTCAACTATACAGGGATAAAGTTTCCATTTATCTTTATCATACATTAGAGCTACTTAGAATCCGCTATCATCCAAACCGAAAAAAGCATCTTCTTGTATGAAGCCCCCTACTTTGAGAGGAAACCAGGACTAGCACGTCATATTCTGCCGTGGAGTATTGATGCAAGCATATTTGTTGAAAACAACTCCTAACTGTCTTTCGTATCCATCCTAGTAACTTGTAGGGTTTTTGTCTTCTAAGGCCTGGAGAACACTATCCGCGTACTTTCACATTGCTAATGCAGATATTCGTCGAAAATAACCTCTGTACGGAAGACCAAAGGAAATTCTATTCAGGAAAAGTAGAGTCGATTCTATTAATCTACATGGGTGTCGTGATATGTATATAATGGATTACTCATCTAATTCTAAATGTCTGTCTACTGCTTTCACAAAAGTCGGTTGTGAACCTGAATCACCTGTTATCCTGGTAAGAAACATGCCTGCTTTAACACTCGGATGGCCCTTCATCACATATCATTCGGATTCCAGTACTTTTTCGGTCCCATTCATTCTGTTGCAACCATAATCAATGACTTTGGTCGGGTCCGTATGTCGATTGCACTATGACTTGCCAATCTGTCGTTTTTTATATTAATATCTTGACTACTGGTCAAGAGCGCTAATTCATCAAGAATCCGAAAATAGCCATGACTTAGCATTCCCAAGTCATCGTCAATTACGTTCGCGGATTTCTGTTGATCATAGCGAAGTTCGATTTCTTGGCCAGTAGAGATTTCCGCGATGAGTTGAACGACCGATCGATAGCGAGGCGGCATCTCATACGTATCACCTGTATCACCTGTAGTCTAGTTGATCGTCAAGTGACTCGAGCGGGCGCCAGTAAATCTTCCATTTTTTTCTGTCGCGTGCAAAAGTAGCCCAGTGGGTTCTGCTCGCTCTACGGACTCGTCGAGCACCATATCTTTCTTTAAGGCTTTTTGTGAAGAACTCTGACCATCGGGTCGGTGGTCTTCCTACAGTGCGTTTGACATCCCGAGGAATCCAGTCACTAACGGCTCCTATCCATCAGTTGTCATTCATACGCATTGCGTGTCCGGGCCAGCTTCGACTGTTTAGCGTACAGGACGGCATCTTTGATTTCTGATCGTTGACGCACGTCGGAGCTTCGGATTCCTTCCCTTACTTTCGTGACGCGGGATACCCCTAACATCGTCCTTTCGACTGCGCGTTTGATAACACGGAGTGAACTTTCATTCCGCCTACGCAGCGACCAGGCTTCTGACGCATACGGTAGGACGGGAAGTACCGTTGTGCCGAAAAGGTGGGCACGGAGTCGGGTGTTCTTTGTTCTCTTCACTACGTCTTCGATGCTCTTGAAGGCTTCCCAAGCTACTCGTTTCCTTCTGCTCAGCTCTGGAGCTAGGTCGTTCATCATATTGATTTCCCAACCTAGATTGACATAGCCGGAGCATTCGGAGATATTTGTTTCGTTGAGCGTGAACGGGGCATGCGAAACTAATACGGTCTTCATGAACGTCGTTTTTGTGAGATTTAGTCGAAGAGCAATTCTTTTCTGTGGAAAGATTGGAATGATTCAGACATAACTCTTCCGAATGTTAAGGGGCGCGTGTGGCGCAGTGGTCGGAGGCGTCCTGCAACACACATGTGGAACTGTTCGCCGTACCCATAGTCCATCAAGCGTTCCACCCTCCGGGGTCGGCAAATTGGTACCAGACTTGTCTGGGAGGATAGCAGCACTGGCTGGATTCATCGACCATTTAAGCAGAGACGACGCCCAATGAATTCAACGAAAAGAAAAAAAATTGGATCGTGCATAAATAGAATGAAGACCAAGTTCATGAAGAACCCATGGTGCGAAGGTGAATCAATCGAACTGGATGGTTTCGTGATCACAGAAACCACGACGTACGCGTATCGTATATGTTCAATAAATATGGAGAACAACATGAAGGAGAATCAGACGGAAAAAGGAAAGCAGCATGGGCTAAATTTGGGCCATTCAAGAAAGCCACTAAGTAAAAGACTCAAAAATCTGCAGACACTTTTCGAAGAAACATTCCTACCAGCGTTCTGTCAGGCAACAGAAACGTAGGTTGCTCCTTCAACCACGTCAACAAATGTGCACACCACCTACAGAGCTCCTTAACGATATCTTCTGAAATGTAACCGGCGCTCATAAGGCTAACCGGAATCCGCAGCTCAGGGTTTCGAAACACATCCCATTTTCGCGATCCAGGTGAATATACATCCATCATCAAACGGAAATGGTCTGATCACATAGTAATAAGAACCGACTCCAAGAGAATGGATGCGTTCTCTTGGAAGACCACCCAAACGATAGGCGGACGTGTTTGTGGCTAATGTCAACCATCTGCACTAGCAGATGGGAACCATTCCAGAATTATGGAATGGGCTTCGCGGAAATCACCATGTTCGATGCAGACCTCCACCATACACATAGGTTCGATCCCGCGTTTAACGCTCTCCAAGGAGTGTGGTGGCAAATAATTTTGGCGAGATGGTTGCGCCTTCCCTAACTGCTCTTTTGTCGTCAGTGTTAATGTCGTTGTAGAATGGTGATACCTTGGTTGTGAAATTTTTCTACAGCTCATGAAGGATCTTTATGTGCTGAGTAGGGACTCCTTGACTAACATGGCTTCCAGGAGTGCTTCCATCTCAACTGAGTCAAAGGTCTTTTGTAAATCGGTGAAAGTGAGACAGGGCGGTCTTTTGTACTCTCGCAAAACTTCAATGAGTCCTGTTATCGTGTGGATTTGGTCCACCGTACTAAATCCTTTTCGAAACCTTGCTTGCTCACATGGCTGTCTTTCGTCTATCTTCTGTGAATGCTGTTTAGGATGACACGAGTGAAAAGTTTGTGGAAGACAGACAGTAAGCAGGTTGAGCGATAGTTGCCGATATCGCGTAGGTCGTCCTTCTTGAACAATAACACGGTCTTGCTTGTCTTGCACTAAGTAGGAACCTTGCATTCAGACAGGTAACGTGTGAAGAGCTGTACCAGTGTGCTTACAAGGTCTGGCGGAAGATTCTTCAGGTGTTCTGGTCTTATCCTGTCTGGACCTGGTGCTGTTCGATTTTTCACCGACGAGATGGCATGTCGGATTTCGGAAGGGAGAACCGGTGGTACAACATAGCCATTGTCCTTTATTTCATATGACGGAAGGTGGACGTGGCAATCGAAGAGATGCGAGTAGTCTGAGTAGTATTCGCGAATGATTTTCTCCATTGCCTTTCTGGACGCTGTAACCGTTCCGTCTATGCACTGAAGTGCAATCATTTTGGCCTTGTAATTGGCGAAGCTTCGGTGGTCTTTGCGAATGCTTTTTCCAGCCTCTGCAACTTCGACCATTACTGCTGCTTTTCCCTTTTTAAGATCTTCTTTTGTCGGCTGTCTGCGTTGCTTTGCAAGTTCGGGCGTTAGTTCGCGGTTGCCTGCGGCTCGTGCGATTCCACACTGACGTATCAGCTCGAGTGCTTCTGGAGACAAACGTCTCTTGGTGACTTTCGAACTTTCAGCTTTCATAGCGCTAACGTGAAGATGTTGAATGAGCCGATCGTATTCTTCGTCGATGTTATCGACAACGGCATTTTCCCAGCAGTCGACTAATGGATTGAATAAGTTTCAGTTTGCGGTGGTGCTTGGACTTCGGTTTTGGAATATAGCGGCTTTTTCTCCTTTCAGCGAGAAATAGGATCTTGCACGAAGGAAACGATGGTCTGATCACGTGTAGAATTTCGGGACAATAGCGAAATCGGTTAGGCAAAACCTTCTATTTACTATAATGTGGTCTATTTCGTTATGGTACTGTCCATTGGGAGACTTCCACGTCTAGTGTTGAGGGTGGAGCTTCTGGAATTGCCAGTTACCATGGATTGGCTTGGCCGCCGTGATAAACTCAGACAGTTGCTCACCCTGTTCTTTCCATTTCAATCCGTCCCAGTGTGACGTTCTTCAGAAGTTCTTCTTGGTCCAGTCTTGGCGTTGAAATCTCCAATGATGACCTTGAAGAGTGTGATCTTCTCTGTAGAACTTCTCGAAGTCCATGTAGAACGCTTCGACGTCTTCTTCGTCATAGTTTGATGTCTGTGCATAAACGACGAGGATTGTTAAAGCCGGAATTGATCTCCGTCTTTTTAATCGTAAAGTCTTATTCGGGTTGTAAGTTGTTCGAGTGATTCGATGTTCATGGACAAACTCGTGTTGACGAGAACGCCGACGCCGCCGACTCTTCTGTCGCATGTTCCGAGGAACAATTCTCCGGTGTCATAGACGGCTTTTAAAGGCTGGGTATTCTCGTCTCGGTCAGGCCGATGATGTCGTACTTTGTCTTTGCTTGCGTGAGCAAGTCTTCTATCGAGGATACAGATGCAAGTGTACGTGCATTGTAAGTATAGATCGCTACCATAGTTCTTTGAAATCCAGGCAGTTTCCATTGGTCTTGAGATTTTAGCAACCTCTCCATACTCGTTCTACTCAACGCTGCGAAACGGGGCTATTTTGCGGCCAGGGGAATGAGGCCTTTTTTTTACTGTGTTTAGAATTTCTGATACCCACGTACAGCTTGCTGGACTCTGGAGCGTGTGGGCTGGGTATACTCACGGGTAGCTTGTTAGGCTCCCCTGTAGTGGTCATGGAGCTTATTTGTTTGAGGCGACTCATAACCACCTCCCATATACTTCCCAGTTACTTGATTGCAGACTTTTGGCCGAATTAACTCGTAGAATACAATCCGCATAGGCGAAATCGCACCCACACACGCATGTATGAATACGCCTAGCAAATACAGAAAGTGTGTGCCGAATCAGCACAGCAGAAATAGGGAGTCCATCCCTTGAATCCACCTGCGTTTCAAGGAAGCAAAGGCCACTTTTAGTCAGCGATTAACCCTCATTTCGCCACTTGGGGACGCACCACGTTGCCTCGCGACTAACCGGCTCGAGATCCCTCATATAAGGGAGATCCATGGATCTCGTACGTAATCCTAATTAATGGTTTTTTTTGTGAAGACATCATCTTATCGTGAACGGTCCGTCCTCAGTGGTTGTGCGGCCCGGCATATTCTCCATTTTTCAGTATTTTGCTGGCTTAGCTTTGCGTTTCCGTAGTCCCGAGGTCAGTCTGGTCAAAGTCTGCCCCACGTCGTCACCACTACAGGGAGGGACCGGCTTTGTGGATCAATGGGGATTTGCCACCATGCGAGTAGTTTGATACTAGGACGGTGGTGGATGCTGGTATTGGTTTACTCTTAGCTGCATTTCCTAGTGGAAACGCCGACTTTCTCAGCTCGAGAGACCCTATCCGGAGTGATGAACCCCCACCCTCTAAACGTACATCGCAGTCCCACATTCAGGAACACGTTTCAGTCACGATGAGGAGGTAAACCGTTTGGAGGCTTTTGATTTTTTAAGCAATTTAAGAATTTTGGAGCTTGAATATGCGCAAGGAAAAACCGGGATACTTCATGAATGGTTGTAAATCTTTGAAAAATGTCTTTATACATTAATAGGCTTGAAACAAATATTTTTGAGATCAAGGGAAGTGTTTCTTTCTATATAACAAAATGTCCTTTTATAATTGGAAATAGATGCGAATACGACTTGCCTTAATTCGATAGAAACTTTGGTTTAACAGATGTCATCGTTTTAACAAACAAACAATTTTGCTGTTATCCCGGTCTCTTCACATGCGATGTAAATTAACCTTGTAAATTGTTATTTCAGTTAAATACAGCGGCAATGCAGAAGGCGCTTGCCATTGCAAATGGAGGTCTGCCTGCTGCTGTGGCATCAGGAGCTGCAACTTCGACAGGTGCATCCTCTGCTTTGGGTAATTCTACCAATGCTGGTAATGGACCTGGAATATGTGAAATTTGTGACCAGAATATGGTGGATCGCGAGCGGTATTTCCAACATTTGCAGGTGCTGTCAATTTAAGTTGAATTTTCTGCGGTTGAATGTTGTTGTTTATAGTGCACTCATTTTTTAGATGGTCCACAAGCATCTTCGCGACAAGACGTTAGACGATGTTAAACTTGGAGCTCCTTTAGCATGTAGCAGATGTCGTGAACGATTCTGGACATATGAAGGACTTGAACGTCACCTGGTCATTTTTCTATTACATATTTCTTCGAATATGTTCTAAAATTTGTTTGAACATCTATAGGTTGTAGACACTAATAGATGCCGTTTTCTTGATCCTATGCTTTTGCAGGTCATGGCTCATGGTTTAGTGACGGCTGATTTGTTAACAAAAGCGCAGAACAAGCTCGATGGTGGTCGATGTAAAATCTGCGCCAAGGTTCATTATATCTCTTATACCTCGTTTTGCCATAATTTTCCCCGTTTTTGATTTGCAGCAGTATGCGTTCAACATGCTTCAACACTTAGTCGCTGACCATCACATTAAGTTATGCTCTGCCGAAATCATGTGAGATATTTTTCTTGTTATCGATTATTGCGAGTTTTATTTTCCTTGTTTTTAAATGTTCTGTTTAGGTATTCTTGTGACGTCTGTTCTTTCAAGTGTAGCAGCTACACCACTCTAGAAAGTCACTTGAATGCGAACCATCCAAAGGGAGTTGTAGACAGAAATGTTTTACAGTCAACGTGTGCTGATTCTGCGTCTGCATCTAATGGCACTCCAAAAGTTAGAATTCCATACTGTGGTTTCATTTCAAAGTAAACTTGATGTTAGGGTTCTTTACCACTTTTTTCATTAGCTCCAACATTTGTTAATGGATTGGGACGAGGGAGGGGGTTGGAGGGAACCAAGGATCTTTTCCCGAAAATCGTTTTAATTATAACTACAATGATGCTGAGATATTTTAAACTCGAGACCGCATGTGTCTGCGGTGAGGATCGAACATGCTGTTGTCTCTTCGGGGGGCTAACGCGCTCACCACCATTCCATGCGGGTCCTTAGTTTCTCCATTCTCTCAGCGGCTTTTCTGTCTACCAGTGCCATCAGCAATCACTCGTCAAAGGTACTGGTCCGACGAGCACAAATCGGTGTTGGACCCAGTTAAGCTGAGGCCGTAGTCATTTTAAATAAAATTGATCGCTTCTATTCGGTCACATCATGATTTAGAAAGAAAGTTTATGGTATTTTTATTCAGGGCAAGGAGGCTGGTGGGAAGTCAACAGAAGATGACTGTATCACGTTGGAATAAGTTTCCCAGTATACAGTGGGCCTCCTGCAATCCGCCTTCTCTGTATTCGCATCAATTTCCGGTGGCTGTGTGTTCTATTCGAGGCCATTTGCAACTTCTAGTTTTCACCTTATAAGTATCATCTGCTGATGATAGCCGAATAGGTGCCTAATAATTTTTGTGGTTTATTTTGTTGATACTTTGATCCTACATACGAGGTGGTTGTGTAAAACTTTTCGTGCTTCTCAAGGACTTTTCGTCGAATTGCAATCAAAGGAATGAGTGGTGATACGGCGTCGTACATACATAATATAATTGTTTGTAACGATAGTCTTTTTTCTCACCAGGAGTTTTTTGCAATAGTTTTTCTTTCAATGAACAGTACTCGAGTTGAAATATGTCCTTTTCTGTTTCTCAAAATAATACATCATTCGTTCTTCATTTTGTTTAAGTATGTTCATGTAGGCCGAAGTTTTTTGTTGTTGTAGTCCTTGATCTTTGTTGCACTACAAGACTGCAGAACTGTATGTCCATCGCCAAGTGGACAAGAAAGTGCTAGATAATAATTTGTTTCGCAAGTGAATCGATTAACCCCGTATTTAATTAAGCTGGTTAATCAAGTTGTGTGGTCATTTGCTGTAAAATAATTTATTAATGAGTAAGAAGTGGTGTTTGTATAAGATTATTTGTTTAGTAAATGACATTGTTCAGTAACTGTGGTGTAGCCATCGACAGGTCGCCTACGTCTTTTCGTTTTTCTCTTGGAGATCCTAGAACAATGGGTCTGATCCGTATGATCACCCTCTGTTGATATTTTATACTTATCAAGGGTGTGTGTTATTCCTTTAAACCTATAGGTTTCGTATTGTAATAATTTCGTTAGAGAGATGTTTTCACAGAGGTTGTTGTGCTGTAATGTTTTTAAGTTCGAAAGGGTTGATTTGGTAATTAACTCATTCCTGACGAAATGCATCGGTTTAAATACCCAGGTTGAGGGGTTGTAGTGAACGTTACGCTTTGAGTTCACGGTATTCTCTTCCAGTTAGTTTCATTTGCATCGTACGCTAGACTTTTCGTGTTCAGTTGATAATACAGTTGTTATGACGGGTGTGTTCGTAACAAAATTCCATTTTGGACCTAGTAAATTACGGAAAAGTTTTCGGACGAGTTCCTGGTCCGGATTTTAATTCCACGGCATGACACTGTTGGTAATGAGGAGTGTGCAAAGATATTTTTTCCGTGAAAACAAATCTAAGAGGTGTGACACAAGGTTTATCGGCGACGTGAATGTAAATACGTGGGTCTCGCCACGAGTAGTTGACTGTGCGGAAAAAGTAGCGCAAAAACTTACTGGTGCAGAGAGTGCTCAGTAGCGTTTTTTTCTTGGTTGGAGAACGCAGGGAAGGGGCACAGCAGGCACACGCATTGCATGCAGTGCATTCTGTAATTGACGATGAAGATCGACGTCATTCCGTGATGAGAGTAGTGAAAATATGGCATTGTTGCGATTGTGTTTAGTATTAGTGAAACTATCTATTTTAGATTGACATATGTGTAGTTGAGGACGTTGTCGGGTTTCGCGCTTACCGTAGAAAAGTTGCTCTGAGTAGAAAGTTGTATGCGCACATACCGCAAGCAGTGGTTGTTGAGTCATGAATCGATAAATCGATATGGTAGTTTTAGAGAAGCGCCCGCGCATGAACGATGCAATGAGATGCGTGTTGTCATTGTATTTCAGATTCAACTTAGATTTCTGAATAATTAAAAAAAAGGTAGATGACAGACGTTTGGAAAAGATACATTTATGTTGATAAAGATAAAATCCTAATGAAACCTAGCAAGAGGAAGTACGATAATGTGGTGAAAATAATATGCCTATAGAGGCGGATGAGGCGAGTGCGGTATTGTTATTGTATTATTACAAAGCCCGTTACCACATCCATTGTGCAGGCCTCAAGACTTGTACTGGATTCATTTTCGTCACCTTTATCACTCACAAAGGTCATCGGTCATTTCGGATGCTGTTTAAGGGATTCTCTTTTTATGAATGTCGTAGAATGCTGATCAAATCTTCTCTCCTTGCAATCTCGAAGATAGCCGGGCTAAGGCGTTCCCACGTGGATTGAAGGAATCGTTGAAGAAGGGGTCAAACTAGCACCTTGCTTTCTGATCGAATACAGCACTAACTACTGCACTGCCCCTTGTCCAAGTACAGTATGATGTACTATAATCTTTCCAAATACAATATAACGTAATAAGTAGGGTAAATATGGTGAAAATATCATATAATACGCTTGCGTTGATTAGTTGAGTGAAGGTTATAATCCAGTATCTCAAGATTTCAGCTTCTACATCGTCCTTAAGCGGTCGATTACTTTTTCATTCCTACTTTCGTTTGTGATTTCGGTTTTAACATCTCTCCGAATCAGTTAGTAGGAAAACTGAGCGAAGGATTCGTCGCCGAAAACGTACCTCGCTCAGATCCACATCGTGGTGAAGGCAAACAAGAAACAAAAATCAGGAAGACTGACATACGGCAACTAAACAACGGGACCCTTGTGATCCGTGGAGGAAAGGTCCCGTCACCAAATGTGAGCGGCGTATTTTTTGTCGTACACCCATTCATTGTCCATCTCGTCGACTCATACGTGATCCTTTCCCTTCGCATAGCCATCCTTCGCCTTCAACTGTCGCATCATAAGAAGATCACTATCATCAACTGTTACTCACCGACCGACGCAGCCGATGAGTACGAATTAAATGCGTTCTACTATAAGTTGGAGGAAGTCATTCTCAATGGTAAAGAATATCAAAAATTTGTTGTTGGAGACTTCAACGCCAGAATAGCAAAGGCCAACGGGAGCGAATACAGGATCGGAAATTTTGGAAGAAATGAGAATGGGAACCGTCTCACAGGACTCCTGTCCGCAGCACGTCTCTCCCATAGAAAATTGTTTTTCCAGAAGAAAGAAAGCCTCCGCTGCACATGGGAGTCTCCTAACTGCATGACTCATGCGGAGATCGACTACATTCTGACAAACAGAATATGGTGCCTACTTGAAAGATCGGTTGTCCCGTCATTCTGTAATGGTTCCGATCACCGCCTCGTTCGCACGAAGATTCGATTCAGCCGCAAGCTGGAAAAGAACTCTTCATCGACCACGAGGAAAAACTCTAGCTGTATACGACGAGAACATTCTGAACGAAGTCCTGTCCAAACGTGACTGGCAGATTAAAGAAGACCCGACCGAAGACAACGAGCTGCTTGTCGAAGGGCTGAAAAGCTGTGAGGAATTCGCCTCACTTCCCCAAGCAAGAAGATCGGATCGCGTCTCCATCACTACTAAAATGTTGCTCGAAAGGAGAAGAAAACTGAAGCTTGATCCTACTGCAACACATTTAACATGGTTAATAATAAATACTAGATGCAGAAGAGCTTTGCAGGAAGATCTACAACGGTACAAGCAGAAGAAACTACTGGAAGCAGCAGCGAAAAGAAGCAGTCTGAAAAAGCGCCGTCGGGAGTTGTGAGATTATAATGTTCCTCTGTCAGCCCTGATGAACGAAGATGGGGTTGTCAAAACCTCCGCCGTGATGTTGAATTAATAGCGGAAACGTTCTACATCAACCTTTTCCATTCCACAGTTCCCGTCCCGGACCCTTACATCCATCCCCTCTGGAGAAAAACCATCCGGAATTCTTCCGTCGGAGGTTCTAGTTGCGATAAAAAGCATGAAAAGAAGCGCAGCCCCAGGACTCGATAATATTACCGCCGACTTTCTTAGAGCTGGAAGCCACAATTAACATGTACTTCTCGAAAATCATATGACAGCCTGCCTTCAAAAGGAAAAAATCCAAGACCAATGGAGGACTTCGTGCGCGGCCATCCTGTCCAAGAAAGGAGATCGAAGGGTTTTTCGTAACAAGGAATCAAAACAACCAACCTGCAAGGATCAGTCAAGCTGACACATGAACTCTGTTGCATTCACAGTTGAAAGAAAAACAGTGTATGTGTATAAACTTTTGTGGCCTCTGCCTTGGTTTTATTGGCAACCTTAACGAGTTTGCTATCAATTCATTATTGTGGGTGGCATATTAGGGGTATCACCGTCCTCAAAGAGAGTTTAAATGATTCAAGTTGGGAGTCAGCTTTAGAGTTGTTCTCTGCGATGCTTAACCTTTTCGTGATTATTACATTCTCACGGATTGTTGTTATTGGGGAGAGGGCTTGTTAACGCGTTCTGTTTGCGACTTTTGGGCTTACAGCCTTTTTTCCTCAAAACTTGGAGGGTGCAGTACTATTATATAACCATGTTCGATTTGTTCTCTCGTGAGCATGCGCCTTGATTTCAATATGTGCTCCGGTGGACTCTGCGTATATTGATTTTATTGATACTAATTGATACATATTGATTTCGATGCACACACTTTTTGCTTATTTCTTTCGTCGCATTCAGTTTTTTTCTTACACGTTTTGTAGTTAAGCGATAAATTAGTGTCCGGCACAGCTGAAAATTAGGCGTGTTCATGGAGGGGTTAAACATTACTGTAACCTCGAGGAAAACCCAAAACATTAGCATTGGTCGTACTTAATGTCCCCTTTTGACGGTTTTAGACCATTTGTACAGTAATTCTTCGTATTCTTGGTGAGCAAACGCGATTCCATTTAGTTTGTACAGTATTCAGACAGTCAAGAGTCATTTAAAGGAAAAAGGTTTAGCATGGGATACAGTGCTATTTCACGGATGGCAATGAATTATTTTTCGCCACAGTTCATTTCTTCAATTCTTTAGAGATGTACCAAATCGAACTGACTGTAGTGGAGCATCGCACAAATGATGTGGTCTCAACCTGCCGCTTTGTCCTACATCGAATGGTTCTGGGCCCATTCAGCAATTAGAAATAGTCGTTTTTGTAATGGAAATTTTTTTCAGGCAATTGGGATTTTATTAAATGGCTTATAGCAGAGCCACATTTTTTTTTATATAACTCGTTTTCGCATCTACCGTGCGGATCCCAGC